TGGCCAAGCAGGAAGGAAGCTCCCGTCCTGAGGTGGTCTGTGGGGTGCTTCCATGACCATGGGCCTAACCTGGGTCCCTGGCATGGCTCCTGGGACCCTGTGGTTCCAGCTGGTGGCTGGGCAGGTGGCAGGAGAGATGAAATGCTGGGGTCAGCTTGGCATTTTGAAGGCCTTGGAGAGGACTCTGGCAGCATCCTGTCCATCAGCTTATCTATGGAAGGCAGGGACTGGGCCAAACGGTTGCACCAGCAGCCAGATGTGGAGCAGTTGCTGTGGTTAGGTGTGGCTAACGCTGCCTCTTTGAGACCAGCTGTTTCTTTATTCTCAATGTGAGACAGAGTGGGGAGCCGCCATGTCACTAGGGGGGGTGACAGCTCCCTCCTACCCGATGAAAGGTTACGATGCCAAGGATTTACAAGGTCCCCTTACTGCAGTAGGTCCTAAGGAGAGGCTGTGTCTATAATTATGCTCCCATTATAGCTTTAATATTTTACACGTTTTCCCTCTTTCACACGTAGCCGACTTCTATTTGGCTTGTGTTCCACTATGACTCCCAGATCACTTTCTGCCCTCTTTGAGAAAAGCCAGGATCCCCATCTTGATTAGAACAGAATGGGATATTACAGCTGAAGAGACTCACGAGCAAAGGTTGCCACGCAGCGCTGTGCAAGCTAAGGCATGCACAAGGGTTCCTGGCCAAGGGGGCAGCGGGGGCTGAGATCCACATGGCTCCACTTGTCAAGCCGTTTTTTGCAAAGGTGCCTTATGAGCTAACTGCCCTGGTGGAGGTTGTCTGGTGCCAGGGTCCTTCAAACTCTTTTGTCCAAAACCCACAATGAGAAATACAGCTTTTCAAGACATTCTATTTTCAAAAATTTCAAATATCCAGAGAAGTTGAATCTCATTTACCCCTCAGACTCTATCTTAATGTTCTGCACTGTTCTTTTTGTTGTTGTTGTTGAGATGGAGTCTCGCTCTGTCGCCCAGGCTGGAGTGCATGGATGCGATCTCAGTTCACTACAACCTCCACCTCCTGGGTTCAAGAGATTCTTCTGCCTCAGCCTCCTGAGTAGCTGGGATTACAGGCGCATACCACCACACCCAGCCAGTTTTTGTATTTTTAATAGAGATGGGGTTTTGCCATGTTGGTCAGGCTGGTCTTGAACTCCTGAGCTCTGATGATCTACCTGCCTCCACCTCCCAAATTGAACAATATCGGCTCACTGCAACCTCCGCCTCCTGGGTTCAAGCGATTCTCCTGCCTCAGCCTCCCAAGTAGCTGGGATTACAGGCGTCTGCCACCATGCCTGGCTAATTTTTGTATTTTTAGTAGAGACAGGGTTTCACCATGTTGGCCAGAATGGTCTCGATCTCTTGACCTCATGAGCTGCCCGCCTCAGCCTCCCAAAGTGCTGGGATTGCAGGCATGAGCCACCATGCCCAGCCTTTTTTTTTTTTTTTTGAGACAGAGTCTCGCTGTGTTGCCCAGGCTGAGTACAGTGGTGCAATCTCAGCTCACTGCCACCTCTGTCTCCCAGGTTCAAGCGATTCTCCTGACTCTGCCTCCCAAGTAGCTGGGACTAAAGGTGCCTGCCACCACGCCCAGCTAATTTTTGTAATTTTAGTAGAGACAGGGTTTCACCATGTTGGTCAGGCTGGTCTCGAACTCCTGACCTCAGGTGATCCACCTGCCTTGGCCTGCCAAAGTGCTGGGATTACAGGTGTGAGCCACCGTGCCTGGCCTGCTTGTCACATATCTCTTTCTCTCTCTGTCCATCTTTATTTTTATTTTTTTATTTTACTGTTTGAGATGGAGTCTTGCTCTGTTGCCCAGGCTGGAGTGCAATGGTGCGATCTCGGCTCACTGCAACCTCTGCCTCCCAGGTTCAAGCGATTATCCTGCCTCAGCCTCCCAACTAGCTGGGATTACAGGTCCCCGTCACCACACCAAGCTAATTTTTATATTTTTAGTAGAGATGGGGTTTTACCATGTTGGCCAGGCTGGTCTCGAACTCCTGACCTCAGATGATCCACCCACCTCGGCCTCCCAAAGTGCTGGGATTACAGGCGTGAGTCACTGCGCCCAGCCTGTCCATCTTATTTGATGCATTTTAAAGTGTCAGACACCTGTTATTCCTAAACACTTCTGCGTGCATATCATTGACTAGAGTTCAGTATTTGCTGATAATTTGGCTTCTTTTTTTTTTTTGAGACGGAGTCTCGCTCTGTCACCCAGTGTAGTGGCCTGATCTTGGCTCATTGCAAGCTCCACCTCCTGGGTTCACCCCATTCTCCTGCTTCAGCCTCCTGAGTAGATGGGACTACAGGTGTCCACCACCACACCCGGCTCATTTTTTTTTTGTATTTTTAGTAGAGACGGGGTTTCACCTTGTTAGCCAGGATGGTCTTGATCTCCTGACCTGGTGATCTGCGACCCTGGCCTCCCAAAGTGCTGGGATTACAGGCCTGAGCCACTGCGCCCGGCTGATAATTTGGCTTTTAGATAAATTTACATACCATAAAATACACAAATCTTAAGGTACCCTCAGATTTTGATAAATTCATACACTTATGTAACCCAAACCCATCATGATATAGGCCATTTCTATCACCCTAGAAAATTCCTTGGTGTTCCTTCCAAGTCAATTCCTGCCCCAACCTGCAAGCAGTTTTGACTGAAGAAATACATGATATTTATTTAATGTGTGGTGTGGTGTGGTCAGGTGTGGTGGGTCACGCCTGTAGCCCCAGCTACTTGGGAGGCCACAGCAGGGGGATCCCTTAAGTCCAGGAGTAGAGGCTGCAGTGAGCTATGATCATGCCACTGCACTCCAACCTGGGTGATTAAAAAAAAAAAAAAAAAAGGTTATATTTTGCATGGTGGCCCAGAGCATGCATACCAAAACAAAACTTTTATTTATTTATTTATTTATTTATTTATTTATTTAGAGACAGAGTCTTGCTCTGTCGCCCAGGCTGGAGTGCAGTGGCGCGATCTCGACTCACTGCAAGCTCTGCCTCTCCAGTTCACACCATTCTCCTGCCTCAGCCTCCCAAGTAGCTGGGACTATAGGTGCCCGCCACCACACCCGGCTAATTTTTTGTATTTTTAGTAGAGACAGGGTTTCACCATGTTAGCCAGGGTGGTCTCAATCTCCTGACCTTGTGATCCGCCTGCGTCGGCCTCCCAAAGTGCTGGGATTACAGGTGTGAGCCACCACACCCAGCCCAAAACAAAACTTTTTAACAAAACGTAGCTTTAAAAAATGTGGTTCTTGGCCGGGCGCGGTGGCTCAAGCCTGTAATCCCAGCACTTTGGGAGGCCGAGACGGGTGGATCACGAGGTCAGGAGATCGAGACCAGCCTGGCTAACACAATGAAACCCCGTCTCCACTAAAAATACAAAAAAATTAGCCGGGCGTGGTGGCAGCGCCTGTAGTCCCAGCTACTCGGGAGGCTGAGGCAGGAGAATGGCGGGAACCCGGGAGGCGGAGCTTGCAGTGAGCCGAGATCGCGCCACTACACTCCAGCCTGGGTGACAGAGCGAGACTCCGCCTCAAAAAAAAAAAAAAAAAAAATAATGTGGTTCTCAGTCTTCTGTACTTATTTCTTGACCCACTAAAAATTTGCTACCAGCTGCTTGCAAAACACAGGCCTAGGTGCTGATCCCCTAAATAAAAATGAAAAACAAATGCCTCACCATGCCCCCCCTTATGAACCTCCTCACTTTTGAGGTGTTTTGTTTTGGAGATGGAGTCTCACCCTGTTGCCTAAGCTGCTGGGAGGTAGTGGCAGGATCTTGAGTAGCTGAGATTACAGGTGCCCACCACCAGCCCCAAATAATTTTTGTATTTATTTTATTTTATTTATTTATTTATTTATTTTTTGAGATGGAGTCTCGCTCTGTCGCCCAGGCTGGAGTGCAGTGGCGCGATCTCGGTTCACTACAAGCTCCTCCTCCCGGATTTACACCATTCTCCTGCCTCAGCCTCCCAAGTAGCTGGGACTACAGGTGCCTGCCACCTCGCCTGGCTAGTTTTTTTGTATTTTTTAGTAGAGACAGGGTTTCACCGTGTTAGCCAGGATGGTCTCGATCTCCTGACCTCGTGATCCGCCCATCTCGGCCTCCCAAAGTGCTGGGATTACAGGCTTGAGCCACCGCGCCCGGCCAATTTTTGTATTTATTGTAGAGACAGGGTTTTGCCATGTTGGCCAGGCTGGTCTTGAACTCCTGATTTCAAGTGATCCACCCACCTCGACTTCCCAAAGTGCTGGGATGACCGTGCCGGCCACTTTTGAGGTATTTTGCAAGCACCAATTGCATCATCAAACCGGTTTCTATTCCTTTAACTTAAAAACAAAACAAAAAAAGGCACAATTCATGCTTTTTACAGAAAACTTGAAAAATAGGAAAACAGAAGCCCTCCTCTGAGCCGTGGCCTCCTCCATCCGCGCCCCCTTCCCTCCCAGGCCCCCAGGCCTCCTCATTACTTTGCAGGGGTACTTCCGCAGCGCTGCGCCCTGGCCCTGCTCATTGGCGTCTCTGAAAGGAGTGGCTGCGGCTCCGGCTTTCCAGATAACCAGCGCTCTAGGCCATTTCCCAGATTGGAGCACTGTAGGTTTTAAGAACTAAAACTTTAAAATATCAGCCATGTTAAAGGCAGTTTCTTTTCTTTTCTTTCCTTTTGTTTTTATTGAGACAGAGTCTCGCTCTGTCGCCCAGGCTGGAGTGCAGTGGCCAGATCTCAGCTCACTGCAAGCTCTGCCTCCGGGGTTTATGCCATTCTCCTGCCTCAGCCTCCCAAGTAGTTGGAATTACAGGTGCCCACCACCAGGCCTGGCTAATTTTTGTATTTTTAGTAGAGAGGGGGTTTCACCATGTTGGCCAGGTTGGTCTCGAACTCCTGACCTCATGTGATCTGCCCGCCTCAGCCTTTCAAAGTGCTGGGATTGTGTTTTGTTTTATTAAAAGCCCAATTAATTAATAAAAGAGGCCGGAATCAAATAAAGAAAGTGGTAGCCTTTATTTGCAAATATGCACGCGCTCTCGGGCAAGGTTCTCTGGTCCGCAAGTAGGGAGGGCCAGGGAAGTCGCGGGCCGGAGAAGTCGCACCGGCACTCGCCGGCGACAGATTTTTATGCCTTGCGACTGGAAAGGGGAGGGCAGTGGGTGGGACGGGGGTGTCTTCAGGGGCATGGATGGGTAAGTTTTGATTTCTTCAGGTTGACGTCACTTGGCGCATGCTCAGTTGGTTTGTGCTTTCCCGGGCGCGGGTAAATTGGTGGTGAAGAACTCGGAAGCAACAGGGACTATGCTTTCTTGTTCATTTTTCCTCCATCTTGGCCCATTCCTTCACCCAAACAGTCCAACCTCTTATTGATTATAAGATTTTAGGCCGGGCGCGGTGGCTCAAGCCTGTAATCCCAGCACTTTGGGAGGCCAAGACAGGCGGATCACGAGGTCAGGAGATCGAGACCATCCTGGCTAACACGGTGAAACCCCGTCTCTACTAAAAAATACAAAAAACTAGCCGGGTGAGGTGGCGGGCGCCTGTAGTCCCAGCTACTCGGGAGGCTGAGGCAGGAGAATGGCGGGAACCCGGGAGGCGGAGCTTGCAGTGAGCCGAGATCTGGTCACTGCGCTCCAGCCTGGGCGACAGAGCAAGACTCCATCTCAAAAAAAAAAAAAAAAAAAAAAAAAAGATTTTAGGGCGCAGTTTTCTCTCTGGCTGCTTCCTGCTGTTAAGGGGCGTAGTTAGGGTCTGAGGTTGGCAGTTGGGTGTAAGGGTGTAGGAGCATTTGATTGGAGGAAACTCGAGTAATTTTCTTGGACCCTGGCTCGGAGAAATTTTATAAAAATGGGAGCAAAACATAAAATAATGCAGATAATTAGTATGGGGATTAGGAAAGGAAGCATTTGTTGTACTATTGGCAGCAGCCATACAGGGGGTCCGGGTACTAAAGGGCTGTTAAATTGTTGGAGTTCTTTCTTGATTTTGTTTAATCTTTGAATGTTGGTGTCAACTAGGCCTGATTCATTTATGTAGTAGCAACATTCTTCTCCAAGGAAAAGGCATGTTCCTCCCTTTTCAGCAGTAAGATCATCTAATGCCCGCCTATTTCGTGCCGCTACCTGAGCCACTGAGGTGATCTGACGCTGTAAAGAGGCTGGGCTTTCAGCTGAAGCCTCTATGGCTGCCTGGAGCTGAGTGGAGAGGGTCTGTGTGGATGGAATTGAGTAGGCGAGGGCCCCTGTTCCAAGTCCTGAGGCTACTAGGGAGGATGCTACGGAAACCCCAATAACTAATGGAAGAAAGATAGCCCGTTTTTGGATTTTTTGGCTAGGAATAGTGAGCTGAGAAGTTAGTTCAGACAGTTCTCCTTTACCATATAGGGTTAAACTGGGTACCAAGGACACTGGAACGCAAAGAGACTGGGTGAGGGAGGTATAGTTAAGAGTTTTGGATAAGGTATGGTTACACCAGAAGTAGCCGCCAAGGGGAGCCGTCTGGGTTTTACTGGGAGCTTGGGTGTGATTGCACCATGAAGAATTTGGAGTGGAGTAACACAAGGGAAGGGGTAGACTTTGTGGATTATGATATAAGGGGACTTGAGACAGGGGTGCTGATTGAAGTGAGCCGGTAGAGTCATTGGTAGTATTGAAAGCGGCTGGTAGGGGGACTGCCAAAAAGGGGGCTTTGCCGAGAGTAGCGCAGAGAAAGCATTGGGAAAGATTTTTCAGTCCGGCTGCCTGCGATAGATTAAGTCCTAGACGAATAAGGGCCAACCATGAGAATGGGTCTTTGTTGTTTGGGGGGTTTAACTGTTCCTGTAGTTTTTGTTCGCGTTGTTGTATGACTGTGGTTAGATTTTGTAGAGCCTGCACAGTTTTAGGGAATTGTATCTGTTGGACATACGTTCTAATTACCCGGATGGTTGCGGTTGGATATGAGGAACTGACTGTTGAATAAAGTCCGCCTTTTACCCCACTGGCCCACCGGGAATCCCAAGGATCTTTGATGAGAAGTCTGTATTTTTTAGTATTTTCGTCCTGGGTAAATATGCTTGCTGTCATTTGTAGACGCCCACCTGTCCAACCTAACTGATGTATGTTGCAGTAAGAGTAGGGGCACCCAACATTAGCCTCTTGCCAGTAGTTCCGGCAGTTATAGTAGGTCTGGTCATATAGGAAGCACAGGGCCGGGCGATAGCCTGGAGTGAGGGAACTTAGGGTGAAGTTTAAGTAGATGGCCTGTTGGCAACCTAGCGGGGGGCAATCTGCAGTACCTTGCATGACTGAATGAACTTGGTTATTTGTGGTCCAAGTCTCAGTGATAGAGAATCTCCACACAAAGTTAGGAGTAGTAAGAGGAGTTACTGGGATTATAGTTAACCATGATAATATCAACAAAGGTGCAGAAAGTATGCTCATTATGGCTAAAGTCACAGAGGGTACCTTGCCAGGCTCGGTCTTCTAAATGATTAGGTGAGGAGTCGGGGAGAAGAGTGGCTAAGGGTTCTATGAAGAGGAAGTCAGTAATTGTCTTAAAAGAGAAAGGTATGGCAGGTAGGGTGCTAATGGTGTGGGTAGAGTAGGGGGTTCTTGCGGCATGAGAGGGCGCCCGTATACCAGTTCAAAAGGACTAAGGCCCGTGGGGCTTCTTTTTTTTTTTTTTTTTTGAGACGGAGTCTCGCTCTGTCGCCCAGGCTGGAGTGCTGTGGCGCGATCTCGGCTCACTGCAAGCTCTGCCTCCCGGGTTCACGCCATTCTCCTGCCTCAGCCTCCCGAGTAGCTGGGACTACAGGCGCCCACAACCGCGCCCGGCTAATTTTTTGTATTTTTAGTAGAGACGGGGTTTCACCGTGGTCTCGATCTCCTGACCTTGTGATCCGCCCGCCTCGGCCTCCCAAAGTGCTGGGATTACAGGCGTGAGCCACCGCGCCTGGCCGGCCCGTGGGGCTTCTAAGTGCCGCTGGTAGTCTGGTAAGGGCAAGGGGTAGTAGGGTTACCCACGATTGCTGTGCCTCTATGGAGGTTCTGGTTAGTTGTTGCTTGATGAGTCCAGGTAATGTTGAGAGAATCTGCAACCGGGGGCACAAGGGCATCATGAAAACAATGTTGGAGCCAGGGTGGGGATGAGAGGGTAGGTTAATGGACGCCCTAAGTTTGGTTAAGATGTTTCGTCCTAGAAGGGGGTGGGGCAAGAGGGCATGATGAGGGAAGAGTGGGCAAAAGTGGGGCAAGAGGGCATGATGAGGAAAGAGTGGGCAAAACATGCATAGTCCAGGAAGCAATTTAACATCGGGGTCTGGCGAGGGTTAGACGGTTTACCGTTTACCCTAACTACTGAAATGGTGGAGCGTTGGCTAAGTCCTCCATAGGACGGCAAAACAGAGTATTGATGAGAAAAGAAATGGGCTTACCCGCTACCTGTAGCGTTACCCTGGGCTGGGCGAGGGTGACCGGGGTCTCCGAGTGTGGGCACCGTCAGTCCTCGTCAAGGTGTAGGAGTTGGAAGGAGCCTTCCCACCTTTGAGGAGAGGCACTACGTTGAGGCGCGGTGCCTGTCCTGATGGCGGGGCAATCAGACTTCCAATGCCTCTCCTGCTGGCAAGCTGGACATGGCGTGGAAGGCGGGCAGGGATGTGGGCACTTATTAGCCCAATGCTCAGTCATAGGAGACTTGTCTTTTATCTTTTCTGCCGGCAGAGTGGGCAACGCTGGTTGGAGGGCAGCCACCAAAGCCTGTACCCAAACAGATTGCAGGCGTGAGCCACCGCGCCCGGCTCCTTTTCTTCCTTTCCATGTAATAGCTTGATTGAGAAATAATTCACATATCAAATTCACCCTTTTAAAAAGCGAGCAACGCGGGGCGCGGAGGCCACGCCTGTGATTGCAGCGCTCTGGGAGGCGGCAGTTCCAGGCGGGCGGATCACTGGGCCGGGAGTTTGAGACCACCTGGGCAACGTAAACTCCGCCTCTATAGAAACAATTTAAAAAAAAGAAATAAGGGCCGGGCGCGGTGGCTCAAGCCTGTAATCCCAGCACTTTGGGAGGCCGAGACGGGCGGATCACGAGGTCAGGAGATCGAGACCATCCTGGCTAATACGGTGAAACCCCGTCTCTACTAAAAAATACAAAAAACTAGCCGGGCGAAGTGGCGGGTGCCTGTAGTCCCAGTTACTCGGGAGGCTGAGGCAGGAGAATGGCTGAACCCGGGAGGTGGAGCTTGCAGTGAGCTGAGATCCGGCCACTGCACCCAGCCTGGGCGACAGAGCGAGACTCCGTCTCAAAAAAAAAAAAAAAAAAAAAAAAAAAAAGAAATAAGGAGCGCGCGGCCCGCGGGGGCAGCGCCTTTACCAGCCCGAGCCTGCAGCCCCCCAGGCCGCGCCGTCCTCGGCCCCCCGGGCAGCGCCGGGGTTTTGTCAGGCGCGCGCTGCTGTTTGCCTGGACTGCGCTCCCTCTGACCCTGAAGCCAGCGGCCCCACTGACACGACCTAAAAAGTGAGAGCCACACGCGGGATCCCGAGACCACGCCAGAGTCCCACGGGCGACGGCTCCCCCCGGCGGGTCCACAGCCGCACGTCGGCGCATGCGCGCGGCCAAGCCGGTTCCCGCGCCCACCAGCGCGCATGCGCGCCCCGCCCCGTACCTCCCCGTGCTCGGCCGTGTTGGTTCGTCCGCGCCGGGGGCGGGGCCTGGGGGCCCGCGGGAAATTTGGCGGGAACCGCGCCCGCCCCTTCCTCCCTTTCTTCTTCCTTCCTTGCTTTCGCCGCGCACTCCGCCGCCATGGAGCAGCGCCGCGTCACCGACTTCTTTGCGCGCCGCCGCCCCGGGCCCCGCATCGCGCCGCCCAAGCTGGCCTGCCGCACGCCCAGCCCCGCCAGACCCGCACTCCGCGCCCCGGACTCCGCCACCAGCGGCAGCCGCAAGCGCGCCCGCCTGCCCGCCGCCCCCGGACGCGACCAGGCCGGGCCGCCGGCCCGCCGGAGGCTGCGGCTGTCGGCGGACGCGGTGAGGGACGTGGGGAGACTGAACCCGGGGGGTTGGGGGCGGGGAAACTGAGGCCCGGGAAGCGGGGCTCGGAGAGACTGAGGCCGGGGCTCGGGGGCGGGGAAACTGAGGCCCAGGGGCGGATCTCGGGGAGACTGAGGCCGGGGAGACTGAGGCCCGGGGGGCAGGGCTCGGGGAAACAGGCCGAGGGACGGGGGTGGGGAAACTGAGGCAGGAGGGGACGGGGCGGGGAGGCAGGGCGGGGCGCGGGGAATTTGAGGCCGGGGGGCAGGGCGCAGGGAACTCTGGGACAGGTCGGGGGACCCTGTGGCCGCCCTGACACCACTGGGGGCTTGGCTGGCTTCTGAGATGAGCAGGAGGCACTGCGGGGTTTGCGCCGGGATCTGATGATGATGATGGGGCTGGAAGGGGGGTCCGCCCTGGAAACTGCCCGGGAAGGCGAGAGCAAGGCTGTGTCCCCAGCCAGCTTTAGCGCAGACCACCGCCTGCGGGAAGCCCTAAGCCCCTGAGCCATGCCCATCTGTTAACTCAGAGGGGCTTCTGATCCTTCAGGGTCTTCTGCAGAGCCAGGAGCACCAGGTCTTGTCATGGGTTCACCCTTGGGGTCCCTCTCACCAGGTTTCCAGCCCCAGTTCCCCCGAGGCCCCTGACTCCCTCGAGGCCCCAGACATCCCAGCCTGCCCTTCTCTGGGCCAGAAGATAAAGAAATCCACCCCGGCAGCAGGTCAGCCACGCCAGCTGACGTCCTCGCAGAACCAGGTGAGGGGCGGGGCCTGGGGCAGATTCGGGAGGGCTGAGTGGTGCCGGCCTGACTGCCTGACGGCACCACGTGGCCTGACTGCCTGACGGCACCACGTCCCCTGATCCCCTTGAAGGACACCATCTCTGAGCTTGCGTCATGCCTCCAACGGGCCCGGGAGCTGGGGGCAAGAGTCCGAGTGCTGAAGTCCAGTGCCCAGGATGCTGGGGAGTCCTGTACCCCAGAGGCCAAGGGCCGCCCTGAGGAGCCATGGTGAGTGCTGGGTGGGTGGACAGGAGGCCTTGGGAAAGGCCGGCTGGTGGGAGGCATGGCCGGGTGATCCTGGCAGAGGCCCAGGTCTGCTCCTTTGGAGGAGGGAGGTGGTGAGGTCACCAGGGCGTGGAGCCAGACCCCTGAGAAAAAGGTCCTAGGCACCGCTGGCCCTTTGCCCTCAGTCCCTCCTGTTGGGGGCAGCTCCTGCCTCCGGCGCTCTGGCAGGTTCCAAATGCTCCTAATGCTTTGGTGTGTTGTCTGCCCCTGCCCCTGAGAGCTGGTGAAACTGGGCTGGGGAGAGGGCAGAGCTTCCCTGGGGGTGCCGCATGGACACAGCAGAGCTGGGGTGTGGAGCTGGGCTTTCCCATCACCAGTTCTACCCCTAACGGTGCCAGTGCTGGTGGCTGTGCAAGGGCCGCGAAAGCCATCGTGTGTGGCGTGGCAGGCCCCATTGGAGGCTCCCTGGTCGAGGGGCCTGCTGTGGCACTGGAGGGGTGGGGGCCTGCTGCTTCTCACAAGGCTTCTCCCTCCCTGACAGTGGCGAGAAGGCGCCCGCCTACCAGCGCTTCCATGCCCTGGCCCAGCCTGGTCCACCGGGGCTCGTGCTGCCCTACAAGTACCAGGTGCTGGCGGAGATGTTCCGCAGCATGGACACCATTGTGGGCATGCTCCACAACCGCTCTGAGACGCCCACCTTTGCCAAGGTCCAGCGGGGCGTGCAGGACATGATGCGCAGGTGAGTGGCCGCGGGTGGGCTGGGGCTGCCCTGGAGTTGGGAGGGGGCCCGGGCCTGCCGCCTCCTGAGCCGGCCCCCTCCTCCTGTAGGCGTTTTGAGGAGCGTAATGTTGGCCAGATCAAAACCGTGTACCCGGCCTCCTACTGCTTCCGCCAGGAGCGCAGTGTCCCCACCTTCAAGGATGGTGTTAAGAGATCAGATTACCAGCTCACCATCGAGCCACTGCTGGAGCAGGGTAGGTGCTGGGTGCAAGACCTTGGTTTCCCCATCTGTGACCCACACACTTTCTGGGGTGGGTGTGAGGTGCTGGGCGGCCTGGCCGGGACTCAGGCCTGGACTCGTCCCACAGAGGCTGACGGAGCAGCCCCTCAGCTCACGGCCTCGCGCCTCCTGCAGCGACGGCAGATCTTCAGCCAGAAGCTGGTGGAGCACGTCAAGGAGCACCACAAGGTGAGCGGCCCCCGGCCCTGCTGTGCAAAGGCGGTGGCACCAGCACTGCCTCAGCACGTAACCCTGTGCTTGGAGCATCCCTGCCACCCACGGCTTCTCCCGGGATGGAACCGGGCTGGGTTCACCCTGAGCTGAGGGCTGGTGTGCTCAGGGTGCAGCTGCAGGCACTGAGAAGGTCCCCAAGGCATTCAGCGAGTATGGGCTGTGGGAGGCCGTGTGCTCTCCCTCCAAGCTGAACACTGGGCAGAGGCTAAGTAACTTGCCCAAGGTGGCCCGGCTGGGACGGGGACGTAAGCATAGACAGCCCCACCTCACATGCAGCCTCTCCTTGTTTCAAATGTGCCCAGTGTCACCCATCTGCTCCTTCTCCCCAGGCCTTCCTGGCCTCCCTGAGGCCCCCCATGGTGGTGCCGGAGGACCAGCTGACCCGCTGGCACCCACGCTTCAACGTGGATGAAGTGCCCGACATCGAGCCAGCTGTGCTGCCCCAGCCACCCGCCACGGAGAAACTCACCACTGCTCAGGAGGTGCTGGCCCGGGCCCGCAGCCTGATGTCACCCAGGGTGAGGCTGCGAGGCTTGGGCAGCCCCTTTCTTCCGGGTGGGTGGGCCAGCCTGACCCCGGGCATAAGAGGTGGGGCCTTGGCGATGAGCTTAACGCCTCATCTGGCTTCCTCCTTGGCTGGGAGGTCCAGAGAGTGGGCGGCATTTGCCCTCTGTCCCCAGCTGCAACCTCTAAGCCTGGCTCTGTCACTTGCCCCATGTGGGGAGTTGGCCCCGGGCAGGCGATGCCACACACTGGGACACTGCATTGACCAGCACAGACCACCCAGTGTGCCGGGCTAACTTGTGCCTTGAGAGATACGGGGGACTCCTGGGCAGAGAGCCAGGGGCATGTTGCCTCCTGTGACCTCTCCGCCCCAACTTGTCCCTCCCGCAGATGGAGAAGGCCTTGAGTCAATTGGCCCTGCGCTCTGCTGAGCCCAGCAGCCCTGGGCCCCCCAGGCCAGCACTGCCGGATACCCCACCAGCCACCCCGCCTGCAGCCTCTCCCAGCGCTCTGAAGGGGGTGTCCCAGGATCTGCTGGAGCGGGTGAGTCGTCCCCAGTGATGGCGGGTGGGGGCCTGGTGATCTGCTGCCCACTAACCAGGTCCCCACACCTGCTGCAGGTCCGAGCCAAGGAGGCACAGAAGCAGCTGGCACAGATGACGCGGTGCCCGGAGCAGGAGCAGCGGCTGCAGCGCCTAGAACGGCTGCCTGAGCTGGCCCGCGTGCTGCGGAGCGTCTTTGTGTCCGAACGCAAGCCTGCGCTCAGCATGGAGGTGGCCTGTGCCAGGATGGTGGGCAGCTGTCGCACTGCCATGAGCCCCGGTACGTGCACGGCGGGGTGAGGGGGCGTGCACAGTGGAATTGCCCAGTGCTGCAGCCGCCTCCCCAGGTTTCTGACCAGGGGTGTCTATCACTGATTTGTTCTGTTCAGATGTGCAGTGGGCACTGGCCACTTGCACTGGTGTGTGCTGGGTGCTTTGCCCTCCTTTGAGCCACCCCTGAGCCTTCACCCAGCCCTTCCACACCTGCAGCCTCTGGAGGCAGCTTCCCTCTCACAGCCCTGGCCCGTTTCCCTGACTGCGTGCAGTGCTTGGTCAGAAGGGGCCCCACGTGCACCCTACACGGCCTCCCAGGCCTCTGGTCACCACACCCTGAGCACGTGGGGGTCCCCACACTACAGGGCACCCCCTGCCTCAGGGTTTTCATGGGCTGGTGGCCCCCATGCTTGGTGCCTCCTCACATGGCCTCAACTGTAGGCCTGGCTCTCTCCACTCACTGTTATGCCTCCCAGATCCGGGCCTCTGATCAGAACCACCTCTGCCTTAAGGCCCGGGGATGGGGCACTGAGGGCGACCAGGTGGGCACAGAGGTCGGGTGGTCAGGCTGGTCTCAAGTGCTGCCTGTGTGGGGCTGGGGCCCAGCACCAGCCTGTGTCCCCTTCTCCTCCCACAGGGGAGATGGAGAAACACCTGCTGCTCCTCTCCGAGCTCCTGCCAGACTGGCTCAGCCTTCACCACATTCGCACCGACACCTACGTCAAGCTGGACAAGGCCGCGGACCTGGCCAGCATCACTGCACGCCTGGCCCGCCAGGCCCGCGCTGAAGAGGGGCTGTGAGCCTGGGGGCCACTGGCCTGGGGCCACCAGCATTTTCTTTTATGAACATGATGCACTTTACTTTTCCTTTCCGGAGAGCCCCTGAGGACCAGAGGCAGAGCTGGGCTGCAGGCTGCACAGCCCAAGGGTCTCTGGCTGCAGGTGGTGGCCCCTGCATGGGGCTCACCTGGTGGATTCACATTAAACCTGTTTCTGTGGGCACCTCTGTCCTTGCTGCTGGTGGGGAAGGGAAGCCAGATCC